CAGAGCCATGTATTCAGTGATAAAAGTCTGCTGAACCAGTTTCCCTCTGTTGGCGACAAAGATATAAGCACCTCTGCAATTAATGTGTCAACGTCTTGAACCTTTTACTGTTGCCCATCCTTCCTTCCTTGTAAACCGGTCATGCCCTCTGTTCAAATGGTCTAAAAATCAATTAATATATTTCTTAAGTCATAAACCAAACTAAAGCAAACGCATAGCACAGATTTAGTAACGTTACACTGGAGTGGTGTGGACCACAGTACCGGAGTAGTGGAGCCGGAGGGATGTAGAACAGAGGAACTCCGTTTTTGGTGCTCTCAGGAATCATGTAGTTCTCAGGAATGGAATTAAATGACTGGAGGTGCACCAACATCTGATCAGTCTGGTTGATGCTGGAAGGACAAACAGCACATGTACGGTAGGTAAGTAACAGCAATCTCGATCAGATGTATCATCATTATTTTACACTCTAACTCATGGTGGAATCATTGTGCATTGTGTACCTCTGTAGTGTGTTCCAGAAGCGTCGGATGACGGAGGTACGGTACGGACTGGTGATGGGTTTCCTCTGGGTGCAGCTAATGTCATGCAGGATGTCATAGCTTCCTTCCATGGTCACCTCCACCCTGGTGGTTCTCTTGGTGGGGTCCAAAGGCCAGGAGGCGGCTGCCAGGTACTCGATATGCATGTTGTGTTTCCATAAAAGCACCAGCTTCACCTCCAGCTGAGTCCCACCTTAAGAAACCAGGGGTGTCATTCTCAGCCAGAATAAACCCTGCACCACCTTGTTGAGCCATTTCCTCTAGGACTTTTGAAAAGACAAAACGTTACCTTTAGTGAGGCTGATCTCTCTGATTGTGTAGCCCTCTCTCAGTCGCACAGACACCACGCTGATTAAATGGGCATGGACTTCCTTCTCTGTGTGCTTCTTCCTCCTCATGACCAGGGCGGGGTTACCGCTGGCTGACACAGGTGCTCATTGAACAGTTTGTGCTGGGAAACTATAACACAGTGAAGTAGTGAGTATGTACGCATATTTATTTTCATCATCAATACTAATAAACCTGCATTGTATCTTAGAAAACAATGTCAATGGAGTTCACAAGAAAAATAACAAAAATGCCATAAAACATAAATCTAATTTGACGATAACTTTGTCCTAAACGTATGTTTTAGAAATGCATTTAAATAACTATAAATTCCTCTATTCAGTTCATTAAACCTAGCTAGGTCATATTCACAGATTTTGAAAAACAAAACACAGAACTTGATGGTAATTAAGGGTATTATTTGAAAATGATACATATATATTTTGCTTTATAATAAATTGTATTCATTTGCGTTGTACTTTTTTCCTACTGCATTTTAGTGGGACACAGAACGCAACATTGTTGTGTTTGTTTACATTTCAAATTAGCTTTACAATGAAATAAGCTCATTAGTAAAACCTTTTCTGAAGAATACCCTTACAGCAACAAAAACCATTGTCATGTTTTTATAGCACATTGAACTAATTTTTAATCAAGGGGGCCTATCATCCCACAGGGCAAGTTTAGATATAGACACAGTACTACAAACAGACTTATAGTACACTGTCTCACCACAGAAGTACTCTGAGTTCATAGACTCCGGGGTCTTAAGGAAGGAGTAGGTTAAGAAGGCCTTGTGGTACACATTCATCTCCTGGTTGTTCACGTCCACTTCAGGACAGCTGGGCAGGTATGAACCAAATGTAGCTAATGAGATGAACTTCATCAGCTCTACATTGGGGATGTAGCCAAAGCTGCAGTCGTAGGAGTACGCACCACCAACCTGGAAGGGGATACACATATTTGAAAGAAGAGCAGTCAGTATGATGTTGCCGTCATTCTACGGAGTCATGGTTGTCACAGAATCCCTCTCACATTACAGTTCTTTGAGTGGAGTTCTTGAGTAGATTGAGATACACATAAGCATCCTCGTTGCGATCCTATCCTGATTTTAATCATATTCAGGATATAACGTTTTCATGGAACATGGAGCATAGAATAACCTGGTTATTCATACCCCATGACTCCTTTCTGTATCGTCCAAGTTCAAAAAGCAGTTGAGGACAAACTCACTGCCTGATTAAAACTGGAATATTGGTGTTGCAAGTACTCCTTTAAAATAATTCCAAAGATGACTGACAGTAAAAAGATAAAGACCAAATACAAATACAGAATGCACATATACACATGAAAAAGTGTTTGCCCCCTTCCTGATTGCATGTTTGTCACACCCAAATGTTTCAGATCAAACAAATTGAAATATTAGACAATGATAACACAAAAAGCAGTTTTAAATGAAAGTTTTATTATTAAAGGAAAAAATCCAAACCTTCATGGCCCCTGCATGGAAAAAGTGATTGTCCCCTATACTTAACTGGTTGGGCCACCTTAGCAGCAACAACTGCAATCAAGGGTTTGCGATAACTGGCAATGAGTCTTTTACAGCGCTGTGGAGGAATTTTGGCCCACTTATCTTGGCAGAATTGTTGTAATTCAGCCACATGGAGGGTTTTCAAGCCTGAACCGCTTTTTTAAGACCATTCAGGTCAGGACTTTGACTAGGCTGCTCTAAAGTCTTCATTTTGTTTTTCTTAAGCCATTCAGAGGTGGACTTGCTGGTGTGTTTGGAGCAATGTCCTGCTGCAGAACCCAAGTGCGCTTCAGCTTGATGGCATGAACAGATGCCTGGACATTCTCTTTCAGGATTTTTGGTGGACAGCAGTATTCATGTTTCCATTTACCACAGCAAATCTTCCAAGTCCTGAAGCAGCAAAACAGCCCCAGACCATCACACTAAACTTCCTTTTCTGAAATGCTGTGTTACTTTTATGCCGGATGTAATGGAACACACACCTCCCAAAAAGGTCAGCTTTTGTCTTGTCAGTCCACAGAGTATTTTCCCAAAAGTCTTAGGGATCATCAAGATGTTTTCTGGCAAAACTGAGACGAGCATTTATGTTTTCATCTTGGAACTCTGCCTCTTTCTTATGGCGGAGTCATGAACACTGACCTTAACTGAGGCACGTGAAGCCTGCAGTTCTTCAGATGTTGTTGTGGGGGTTTTGTGACCTCTTGGATGAGTCGTGACTGCGCTTGGGGTAATTTTACTTGGCCGGCCACTCCTGGGAAGGTTCACCACTGTTCCATGTTTTCGCCATTTGTGGATAATGGCCCTAACTGTGGTTCGCTGGAGTCCCAAAGCTTTAGAAATGGCTTTATAATCTTTTCCAGACTGATAAATCTCAATTACTCTGTTTCTCATTTGTTCCTGAATTTCTTTGGATCGCACACGTGTTTCAGCATGATGTCTAGCTTTTGAGGATCTTTTGGTGTACTTCACTTTGTCAGGCAGGTCCTATTTAAGGGATCTCTTGATTGAGAACAGGGGCAGAAAACAAAGATTCCAAAGATGGGATAAACCACAGTTGATTTATTTTTTAAAAGGTGGGGCACAATCACTTTTTCACAGAGGGCCATCTAGGTTTGGTTTTTTTCCTTTAATAATAAAACCTTCAGTTAAAAACTGCATTTTGTGTTTACTTGTGTTATCTTTTTCTAATATATCAATTTGTTTGATGATCTGAAAAGGAAGTATATGAGTAACAAACAGGTCAGAGGTGCAAACATCAAGATGTTATGGTCTTTACCTGCACAAAGGAGCAGGCAATGGTTCCACTCCTGAGCTGGTTCAGCAGTGTTTCACACACAGCTACATCCGGAACACTAGTCACTCCGTCTGTGATTATAATGATACCTGGAACACACACAAGTTAAATGACTAAAACCTCTTAAAGTCACATGATGTACTTCTGACTTTACACGGTGAATAGTCAGGATGGTGGAGGTATGAAAGTCAGCAGGGTTTCAACTTCTCTCTCACTTCTCTATTTCCATCCTTCACACAACTACTTCTGTCACTCTTCCTGTGCACAACCGAGTGCAACAGCATGAATGTCTTCAAAGAGAGACTGCTTGAAAGTGTGCACTGTTATCTCCATTTGCGTGATTCATCACATCAAGACTACAAAGACATGCAAAAGACAGAAGAAGGCTATGATGGCCATTCAGAACAGGTATAATCACATTGGAAGTGGTTGGATGATATTTTATTTTATTTAAGCATACTGAGGCCTTTACATTTCAGGCCTACCACAGTCAACAATGTCTACATAGGCAAAACAGACTGACATCTTCATGCACACATATCAAAGATGCCAACCTGTTAAAGCAAACCCATGACCATATTTTTGCAATATCATAGTAAGTAGATTGATCCAAAACCTTTAAAGTTGGCTAAAGTCGTAAAAATCATTCAGATTTCTTGGCAATGTTTAACTCATTAATACAATATCAACTGTACAAACATACTCTTGCAATACTTAGCTTACGATATGGTTAATCATGATATTTAGCTTGCTAAATTATCCAGACACAGTTTAAGAGACACTGTGCTGACACTGCTTGAGGATTATTTACATCATAGCAAGAGGTTACTATCCAAAAACATATGTCTGACATAGCTACAATATTGTGTGGGGTGCCTCAAGGTTCTATTCTTGCTATATTTAATTTTCATTCATTGTCTTCCAAATGGGTGGTGCTGTGGTTAGCACTGTCGCCTCACAGCAAGAAGGTCGTGGGTTCAAACGTGAGTGGGAGTGTTTGTCTATGTGTAGCCCTGCGATGGACTGGCGACCTGTCCAGGGTGTACCCCGCCTTTCAGCCGATGTCAGCTGGGATTGGCTCCAGCCCCCCGCAACCCTGTACGCAGGATAAGCGTTTGACGATGGATGGATGTCTTCCAAATGCCTCTGACACAATATTGCCGATAGTTTTTGTTTAAAATGAATAACTAAGCTGTCACATAATGTCGAGCACTCTAATGTCATTCAAAGGTTGCAGAGAAGTTGATTATTCTTGGTTACAAGTATTGATCAGCAGGCCATTGAGTAAGTTTACTTTACATACTTGCTAGGGGAATTCATTGATTATGTATGGGTTATAAGGCAAAAATTGGTGGAGTTGCTGATCTCTCCCTTTAATAGCTAAAGATGTCGATATCGGAGACTTGCCAGACTAGACAAGAACTTTTCACCACTGATGGACAAGATGTTTTTTTCAACTTTGAAAAAAAACATCTTGTCCATCAGTGGTGAAAAGTTCTTGTCTAGTCTGGCAAGTCTCCGATATCGACATCTTTAGCTATTAAAGGGAGAGATCAGCAACTCCACCAATTTTTGCCTTATAAACCATACATAATCAATGAATTCCCCTAGCAAGTATGTAAAGTAAACTTACTCAATGGCCTGATGATCAATACTTGTAACCAAGAATAATCAACTTCTCTGCAACCTTTGAATGACATTAGAGTGCTCGACATTATGTGACAGCTTAGTTATTCATTTTAAACAAAACTATCGGCAATATTGTGTCAGAGGCATTTGGAAGACATCCATCCATCGTCAAACGCTTATCCTGCGTACAGGGTTGCGGGGGGCTGGAGCCAATCCCAGCTGACATCGGCTGAAAGGCGGGGTACACCCTGGACAGGTCGCCAGTCCATCGCAGGGCTACACATAGACAAACACTCCCACTCACGTTTGAACCCACGACCTTCTTGCTGTGAGGCGACAGTGCTAACCACAGCACCACCCATTTGGAAGACAATGAATGAAAATTAAATATAGCAAGAATAGAACCTTGAGGCACCCACACAATATTGTAGCTATGTCAGACATATGTTTTTGGATAGTAACCTCTTGCTATGATGTAAATAATCCTCAAGCAGTGTCAGCACAGTGTCTCTTAAACTGTGTCTGGATAATTTAGCAAGCTAAATATCATGATTAACCATATCGTAAGCTAAGTATTGCAAGAGTATGTTTGTACAGTTGATATTGTATTAATGAGTTAAACATTGCCAAGAAATCTGAATGATTTTTACGACTTTAGCCAACTTTAAAGGTTTTGGATCAATCTACTTACTATGATATTGCAAAAATATGGTCATGGGTTTGCTTTAACAGGTTGGCATCTTTGATATGTGTGCATGAAGATGTCAGTCTGTTTTGCCTATGTAGACATTGTTGACTGTGGTAGGCCTGAAATGTAAAGGCCTCAGTATGCTTAAATAAAATAAAATATCATCCAACCACTTCCAATGTGATTATACTGTTCTGAATGGCCATCATAGCCTTCTTCTGTCTTTTGCATGTCTTTGTAGTCTTGATGTGATGAATCACGCAAATGGAGATAACAGTGCACACTTTCAAGCAGTCTCTCTTTGAAGACATTCATGCTGTTGCACTCGGTTGTGCACAGGAAGAGTGACAGAAGTAGTTGTGTGAAGGATGGAAATAGAGAAGTGAGAGAGAAGTTGAAACCCTGCTGACTTTCATACCTCCACCATCCTGACTATTCACCGTGTAAAGTCAGAAGTACATCATGTGACTTTAAGAGGTTTTAGTCATTTAACTTGTGTGTTCCAGGTATCATTATAATCACAGACGGAGTGACTAGTGTTCCGGATGTAGCTGTGTGTGAAACACTGCTGAACCAGCTCAGGAGTGGAACCATTGCCTGCTCCTTTGTGCAGGTAAAGACCATAACATCTTGATGTTTGCACCTCTGACCTGTTTGTTACTCATATACTTCCTTTTCAGATCATCAAACAAATTGATATATTAGAAAAAGATAACACAAGTAAACACAAAATGCAGTTTTTAACTGAAGGTTTTATTATTAAAGGAAAAAACCAAACCTAGATGGCCCTCTGTGAAAAAGTGATTGTGCCCCACCTTTTAAAAAATAAATCAACTGTGGTTTATCCCATCTTTGGAATCTTTGTTTTCTGCCCTGTTCTCAATCAAGAGATCCCTTAAATAGGACCTGCCTGACAAAGTGAAGTACACCAAAAGATCCTCAAAAGCTAGACATCATGCTGAAACACGTGTGCGATCCAAAGAAATTCAGGAACAAATGAGAAACAGAGTAATTGAGATTTATCAGTCTGGAAAAGATTATAAAGCCATTTCTAAAGCTTTGGGACTCCAGCGAACCACAGTTAGGGCCATTATCCACAAATGGCGAAAACATGGAACAGTGGTGAACCTTCCCAGGAGTGGCCGGCCAAGTAAAATTACCCCAAGAGCGCAGTCACGACTCATCCAAGAGGTCACAAAACCCCCCACAACAACATCTGAAGAACTGCAGGCTTCACGTGCCTCAGTTAAGGTCAGTGTTCATGACTCCGCCATAAGAAAGAGGCAGAGTTCCAAGAAAACATAAATGCTCGTCTCAGTTTTGCCAGAAAACATCTTGATGATCCCTAAGACTTTTGGGAAAATACTCTGTGGACTGACAAGACAAAAGCTGACCTTTTTGGGAGGTGTGTGTTCCATTACATCCGGCATAAAAGTAACACAGCATTCAGAAAAGGAAGTTTAGTGTGATGGTCTGGGGCTGTTTTGCTGCTTCAGGACTTGGAAGATTTGCTGTGGTAAATGGAAACATGAATACTGCTGTCCACCAAAAATCCTGAAAGAGAATGTCCAGGCATCTGTTCATGCCATCAAGCTGAAGCGCACTTGGGTTCTGCAGCAGGACATTGCTCCAAAACACACCAGCAAGTCCACCTCTGAATGGCTTAAGAAAAACAAAATGAAGACTTTAGAGCAGCCTAGTCAAAGTCCTGACCTGAATGGTCTTAAAAAAGCGGTTCAGGCTTGAAAACCCTCCATGTGGCTGAATTACAACAATTCTGCCAAGATAAGTGGGCCAAAATTCCTCCACAGCGCTGTAAAAGACTCATTGCCAGTTATCGCAAACCCTTGATTGCAGTTGTTGCTGCTAAGGTGGCCCAACCAGTTATTAAGTATAGGGGACAATCACTTTTTCCATGCAGGGGCCATGAAGGTTTGGATTTTTTTCCTTTAATAATAAAAACTTTCATTTAAAAACTGCTTTTTGTGTTATCATTGTCTAATATTTCAATTTGTTTGATCTGAAACATTTGGGTGTGACAAACATGCAATCAGGAAGGGGGCAAACACTTTTTCATGTGTATATGTGCATTCTGTATTTGTATTTGGTCTTTATCTTTTTACTGTCAGTCATCTTTGGAATTATTTTAAAGGAGTACTTGCAACACCAATATTCCAGTTTAATCAGGGCAGTGAGTTTGTCCTCAACTGCTTTTTGAACTTGGACGATACAGAAAGGAGTCATGGGGTATGAATAACCAGGTTATTCTATGCTCCATGTTCCATGAAAACGTTATATCCTGAATATGATTAAAATCAGGATAGGATCGCAACGAGGATGCTTATGTGTATCTCAATCTACTCAAGAACTCCACTCAAAGAACTGTAATGTGAGAGGGATTCTGTGACAACCATGACTCCGTAGAATGACGGCAACATCATACTGACTGCTCTTCTTTCAAATATGTGTATCCCTTCCAGGTTGGTGGTGCGTACTCCTACGACTGCAGCTTTGGCTACATCCCCAATGTAGAGCTGATGAAGTTCATCTCATTAGCTACATTTGGTTCATACCTGCCCAGCTGTCCTGAAGTGGACGTGAACAACCAGGAGATGAATGTGTACCACAAGGCCTTCTTAACCTACTCCTTCCTTAAGACCCCGGAGTCTATGAACTCAGAGTACTTCTGTGGTGAGACAGTGTACTATAAGTCTGTTTGTAGTACTGTGTCTATATCTAAACTTGCCCTGTGGGATGATAGGCCCCTTGATTAAAAATTAGTTCAATGTGCTATAAAAACATGACAATGGTTTTTGTGCTGTAAGGGTATTCTTCAGAAAAGGTTTACTAATGAGCTTATTTCATTGTAAAGCTAATTTGAAATGTAAACAAACACAACACAATGTTGCGTTCTGTGTCCCACTAAAATGCAGTAGGAAAAAAGTACAACGCAAATGAATACAATTTATTATAAAGCAAAATATATATGTATCATTTTCAAATAATACCCTAATTACCATCAAGTTCTGTGTTTTGTTTTTCAAAATCTGTGAATATGACCTAGCTAGGTTTAATGAACTGAATAGAGGAATTATAGTTATTTAATGCATTTCTAAAACATACGTTTAGGACAAAGTTATCGTCAAATTAGATTTATGTTTTATGGCATTTTTGTTATTTTTCTTGTGAACTCCATTGACATTGTTTTCTAAGATACAATGCAGGTTATTAGTATGATGATGATGAAAATAAATATGCGTACATACTCACTACTTCACTGTGTTATAGTTTCCCAGCACAAACTGTTCAATGAGCACCTGGTGTCAGCCAGCGGTAACCCCGCCCTGGTCATGAGGAGGAAGAAGCACACAGAGAAGGAAGTCCATGCCCATTTAATCAGCGTGGTGTCTGTGCGACTGAGAGAGGGCTACACAATCAGAGAGATCAGCCTCACTAAAGGTAAACGTTTTGTCTTTTCAAAAGTCCTAGAGGAAATGGCTCAACAAGGTGGTGCAGGGTTTATTCTGGCTGAGAATGACACCCCTGGTTTCTTAAGGTGGGACTCAGCTGGAGGTGAAGCTGGTGCTTTTATGGAAACACAACATGCATATCGAGTACCTGGCAGCCGCCTCCTGGCCTTTGGACCCCACCAAGAGAACCACCAGGGTGGAGGTGACCATGGAAGGAAGCTATGACATCCTGCATGACATTAGCTGCACCCAGAGGAAACCCATCACCAGTCCGTACCGTACCTCCGTCATCCGACGCTTCTGGAACACACTACAGAGGTACACAATGCACAATGATTCCACCATGAGTTAGAGTGTAAAATAATGATGATACATCTGATCGAGATTGCTGTTACTTACCTACCGTACATGTGCTGTTTGTCTTCCAGCATCAACCAGACTGATCAGATGTTGGTGCACCTCCAGTCATTTAATTCCATTCCTGAGAACTACATGATTCCTGAGAGCACCAAAAACGGAGTTCCTCTGTTCTACATCCCTCCGGCTCCACTACTCCGGTACTGTGGTCCACACCACTCCAGTGTAACGTAACTAAATCTGTGCTATGCGTTTGCTTTAGTTTGGTTTATGACTTAAGAAATATATTAATGATTTTTAGACCATTGAACAGAGGGCATGACCGGTTTACAAGGAAGGAAGGATGGGCAACAGTAAAAAGGTTCAAGACGTTGACACATTAATTGCAGAGGTTGCTTATTCTTTGTCGCCAACAGAGGGATCAACTGGTTCAGCAGACTTTTATCACTGAATACATGGCTCTGCAAAACC